TCTGGAAGTGATTAAATCTTGCTAAGGACCGAACTCAGGATCCCCTTCCTTTTTCAGAGGCAAGAGCCACCAGAGCAAGGAGCACCGTCCAGCCAATGCTCATACTCCCTGCTGAGCACAGACTGCCAGACTAGTGGCTGGGTTGGAGAGTAGCTGGCACTAGTCTAGCTTTGGCAACCTTACAATGAGAACAACAATTTGTCCTTTAAAAGACATTTTGCAGCCACTCTTAAGATATGCTGGGCATCCCAAACCAATTCTATTAAATGGTTCACAAAGTTAACTGGAAGCAGGAAAAGTGCTGAAAAGAGTCTCTGATTTCTGATACTTACAGAAACTTCTTTGCCTCCAAAGACAAACTTTTAAAACAATAAAGGTGCCTCAGCGCTCCTGACAACCACAGCGTAAGAAAAGATGCCAAATAGATCTCCCCACCCTAAAGAAACCTTCTATCCCCAGAAAACACCAACAAAACAAGAAAATCCTAAGACTTGTCAGTCAACTTGCTGCCCAAGTTAGAGGGAGCCAAGATAAAACACTGGTCTCTTTCCTGCCTTTTATATTACTGAAAGTTAGTGTTACATGTCGCTTGAGGACACATCCTGGCTTGAAATCAATAATTAATAAGCACTAATTCACTAAGAAGGGGATCAAAGTGAAAGAAAAAAAAACCACTTAACTTCAGTAATTTAATTATTTCCTGGTTGTCATAAAGGAACACAAGAGATTTTATTAAAAATAGCCAATAATTGAGATTTGAATCAATAAAAATTGATTCATATAGGTATTGCTTTTATTATTAGGATAGAAATGCTGTCATTACATGAGAGGGAAAAAACTGCTGGTTCAAAGAGTTATCCTGCAGAAGAAGGCTTGGTTTAATCTCTCTGAAATGCTACCCATTTTCTGTACCACCTTAGGCAAGCCACCTCGTTTCTTTTTGCTCCAGCTTCTCCTCAACACAGCAGAAGTCTCTCCTATCTCACTAGCAAAATGTGATGATAAATACATCAAAATGTAAAGTACCCAGATGTTACAGAAAGAAAAGTTACATCTATGGCACAGATCTTTATTATTATAAATCAAATTTATGTTTATTATATACTGTTTCTAATTGATTTCTTCTATGTTATATGCACTGTCCTGCCTTCTGCTCTACTGTATTCTGATGCCTTAGGCAAAAATCCCCTAAGCTAAATTTTTCAGCAGGTTTCACAATGGAATTATCTCACTGTTATGTTTATTTGTTTTGTTGCATTTTTCAATTTCCTTTCTCTGTTAATTTATCAAAATGACAAAATTAAAGCCGAAAGCCTGATTCTTTCCACATATGACCCTATTCATGGGCATAGCACTAATGTAAAGCACTTACTGTCATCCTCCACCAGGGCAAATTATATGAGAAGAGCAGAGATTTTCAGAAAAATTATTTCAGGTAGCAGAGTACCTTTGCATTTCCCAGGGAGGTCACTCTGCCCTGGTGCCAGACAATAGTTGCAGAAACCAAGTAATGAGGAAATATGTGGGAGTGGACCTCACAGCACCTGTGCTACAACAGACAGCACCTCAACAGCCTCTGGACAATTTTTCTATGTCAGAAAACACTGCAGAAAACTGTCAAGTCTTCTAATTATCCAGAAGATAACAACAGGACTGGAGTACCAGGGACTAAAATCCAAATTAGCAAGTAGCAATTGAGGACAGTACTGGCACTTCAAAGCAAGGTGCAAAAAAGTCTGTGGGAATCCCAAGCTGGTATAAATTGAAATACCATTGCAGAAAGTGAGTTTATCATGGAGCATTAATGTTCCTCCTGCTTTTGCTTCTTAAGTTTCACGTAACACGTGGTTGTACTCTTGAATGAAAATAAACTAAATTAATTTAAAAAACCCTATGATTTGATTACATTTCATTTTTAAAATATATGTAATCATGCAAAGTAATAATTTTAATATTTTATAGACAACATAAAGACAGTAATTTCAAGTGCACTCATTAGATGATGTATCTAAGACATGACACGTGTTGAGTACTTGCTCAGATTTTGATTTTGCAGAATTCAAAATACTCATGTAGATAGGCACTTGAAATATCCAGCTAAATCCTCTGAAACCTGTAAATTATGGGAATGGAAACTTGCTGATACAACTCTGTTGTTGAGGAGTTACAAAAGGAAAAATTGCCATGACCAGATGGCCCAAATCAAGAATGCCATCCCACCTGGTCTCCTTTGCCACAATGGATAAGAGTTTTCCAGTTTACAGAAAGAATACAGGATTTACATTCTTTAGCACTTCTATGGAGTGTTAAATGGTATCCTAAAATGGAGTGCTTTCTTTATGCTTTTCCTTGGTAGGTGCTGTTTAGATACATGTAAAAAAGTTCAGCTTATTCAGTTCAGTCCCTGGCGTAATTTTAAATTTCTTCCTTTCTGAGAGCTCTTGGTGACCTCACCAGAATCTGGGACCACACGAGTAATTTAAATTACTGTTCCCAAAAAGTCTGATATTTTTTCAGTTGTCCTTTCTATTGCCTTTTTTTTTTAATTAAAACCCCTAGGTTATGCTAAGAGAGTTTATTAGGGGACTTTTAGTCCCTGCATAACCTAAATTTATGAAAGTTCAGAAAGATTAAAAAAAAATTTACTTTATCATGTCCAATAGTCTCATTAAAGACTTGGACAAAGATTTTCCAAAACACCATGTCATTTGGGGGCTTCAAACAGGAAAGAGTTGATTCATTAAAAAAAAAAAAAAAAAAAAAAATCAGTGAATAGTCACAAAAATCAGTAAATTAAAGCCCCCTACCTAGTATGAATTCCTTGGTTAAAATATCTTCACCAGTCCCAGAAAGCTAAAATTCTTGTTCTGACAAAACACTCTTTTGCCCTATCACTGCAGAAGCAAGAAATACAACACACGGCCTGGTCACCCCAGCCTTACTCTGAAATGCAAGTGTCTGGTCTAAGCACTTTCCCCAGTGTACACCTACGTTAGAGAGAAGACATCCCTAGCAAGCACAAACTCTGCTTCAGGAGTTCCAGTCTAATTTGAATTTATGAAAGTTCAAACATCTAAGGGTCCTCATCATTTTAGGACATGCAAGTCAGATCAGAATCAGCAGATCCCTGTTAAAATATAAAAATATAAAAGTCATTGTTGCACGTGTACTGTCACAGGAGAACTTGTGCACAATGCAGGAGGAAACCTAGTCTTTCTCCCTGATCAAATTTAAGAGCCTGGTGCTTTTGCCAAAATCACTGGGAGCTGTGGAATCAGAGGATTGGACTCCAAATCACTAGGCAGACCTGCCACACTTTTAGTACCACTACAGGCGAATCAAAGAAAGAACTAATCCTGGATGCAAGTATTTGAAAAACTTGACATTCAGAAACTTCTGTAATAACTTACCTACAGTTTTTCTTTTTTTTTTTAAACTTTACCTTTAGCAATGAAGAGTGCTGGGGCATCTGCTATCTCTCCTTTTACAAATAAATGTAGCATTTTCTCTAGAATGTTTCTTTCAAGGGGAGGATAAGGGGAAGGCAGGGGGAGCCCGGAGAATATGCACTTAATTCCAGGAAGATGATACTTGTCCTGTTTCCTAGCCTGGCCTATAGTTGGTTAAAGCAAACATGTTTAAATAACTGATATGCTTAAGATAACACTTACTGGCACCTGAAGTCTGAAACATTCAGAAATGTTAATATACACTTTGAGTCTCTCCTGTCTACCTTTAAAGTACATCATGCTAAAGGATCAAAAACTGCTTACAGAAGAGTTCGTAGGATTTAACTGAGGTAAAATTATCTTTGAGAAGAAAACAACTGTTACTTCTGCTTCCAAAAGAAGCCTTTTGGTTTCACACCTTAAAGACTTAATTCAGTAAGCCCGATTCTTCTTGTCTGATTTTCATTTTAAGTACATTTAAAATTGCATGATCATAAATAAAAATTTTAAAAATACCACACAAGATTGGAATAAATCGATATATTATAACAGAAAGGCAAAATACAATATAGATGGTGAATCTAATATCGAATTTCATGATTTAAGTTTGAATGCAACTTCAATCGGTTCCATGACTGACAGAAGTGCGCATTTCTTAAAATACTTTATCACGTTACTCATGCCCAGACAAAATGTATTTGTACGGAAACTGGCACGTTCAAGAAACAAAACGTGTTTTGTAAACCTATTTGTTTCCAGTTCAATGACAGCGGTTCCTGCGGGCCCTCGGCGGCGGGGAGCTGGTCCCATCGCCCGGCAAAGCGCTGGCTCTCAGTGTGACACCGGGCCGAAGGGCTCATGACGGACCTTTCACACCGCTTAAAGTCTTTTTTTCTTTTTTTTTTTTTTTTTTTTTTTTTTGTTTCTCGCCTCTGGTTTCGCCAGAAGTTCCGGAAAATTTCCTGCTCTGCTTGGATTCATTTTCCTTTTGGCTGGAGGAGCATGGTCCTTCACGCCCTGCTGTCCCCCAGACACAGGGCACTTGCCGACTGGGCTGTCGCCTCCCCAGCTATCGCCATCCGGGGGGACGGGACCGCTCGCCTTTCTCCCAAAACTTGGGATTTGAGACCTTCCCGGCGCGCCTGTTGGCGGCGAAGCTTTTACCACCCCTTGAGGCTGCGGGACGAGACCTGAAAAACTGCGATTAAGGGCGTTTAGCAGCACCCGACGCTGCCATCGCAGGGCTCTGCGGCGCACGCCTGCACCCGCAGGTGCGCCGCCCGCCCGGCCGCACTCGAAAGCCGCCGCCCGGCCGCCCGCACCCCCGGCCCCCGCCCGCTCCTCGGCGTCCCGCCGCCGGTGGCAGGGCGAGATCCCCGGCCTGAGCTCCGAGGCAGCTCTCGCCGCAGGGAAGGCGCCCCGGCGGCACGGCACCCAGCGGGGCTCGGCTCCTAGGACCGTCCTCGCCGTGCGCAGCGCGGGGCCGAGCCCTCGGGAAGCCCCTCTGTGCCTCTCGCCGGCGGCGGGACGCGGGAAGGGGCTGGCGCTCACCTGTGGCTGCCGGCAGGAAGACGCCACCTCTCTCCGCCGCCGAGGCCCGCGCTGGCGGGCGGCTGCCGTCCGCCCCGGAGGGGTTAAGCACTTGGAAAGCCCATCTTGTCGGGAAGGGAGCCCCTGAGGGGCTGATTTGTTCCGCCGCGGGGCACAGCTTGAGGGGGACGGGGCTGGCGGGGAGGGGACGGAGCTGGGCAGGGCTCGGCGGCGCCCCGGCCCGCAGCAAGTTCTCGATGAGAAAACTTTTGCCCAGGTTGCCGAAGCCCGGCGTCGCCGGCAGGTTGAGGAGAGCAGAGGAGCCCACCAGGTCCCAGTACAGGGCGCTGGGCAGCATAGCGAAGGCTTCTACCCCCTTCGCCCTGCCCGGCCCGGCCCAGCCCGGCCCGGCCGCCGCGGCCCCTCACTGGGCTGGGACGGGGCGCCGGGCTCCGGGGCCGGGCGGGCTGCCGGGACGCCTCCCCGAGGGCTGCGGGGAGCGGAGCGGAGAGCTCGGCGGGGCTGTCCGTGGAGACGCGGCGCCTCTGCGCCGGGCTGGAAGGTGTGTCCAAGCGCATTCATTATGTCAGCCTGGGACGAGGAGTGATGGACGCGGCCAACAATGCTGCCTTGCCCAGCAGCCCCCCGGGGAAGGGGGGTAGGGCGGGAAGCCGAGGTGGCTGTCCCGCGGTGCCCGGCCCGCCATGGCGGCGGAGCGGCGCCTCCCGGCCAGGGGCTGCACCTGTGTGGAATGGACGGGAGGGCAAGGGAAAGGCCGCTGGCCTTTGTCCCAGCGGGGAGGTGGCTCCGGTGCTGGCCGCGGAGAGATCATGTCGACCTAATGATCCCATGAGGTAATGGGAAGATAGTCATTAGCTCACTCCCTCTGGGCATTTTTATCTGGCCTTTTTTTTCTTCCTTTTAGTTACCCACCTCTCAAATACAAGCTGGGTTTTCAACATTTGTCTTAATAAATCTGATTAAGATCATCACGGCACTGTTAATCATGTTTTCCTTGAAATGTGGAACGATGCTTTGTGCAGGCATAAACATTCTTTGTCAGGGGTCGCTTAATACATTTCTACTTCCTTGCGTGTATTCTTATTTATTTGCTTACAAACGATGAAATGTGGCAAAGATGTCTCATTTTGCAGTTCAAACACAACACACATGCAGAAAGTTAAAACTGGGTGCTGTTCCCAAAGACCTGAAAGCATCTCCCTGTTTTGTAGAGAAATACTTTTACTTCAAAGCAGCTGTTCATCAGTCTGGGGATATTCCCTGCAAGATCCTCTGAAGCAAGCATGTCCCTTAGTTTTGTATAGTAGCAGAGGCATAATCTCTTGGACATCAGGGTAGTTCAAAGCTAAAACTAGCTGGACAAGTGGAATCATCTGTACCCTCAGACGGGAAATGAGAAGGATGACTTAAATGCTGTGGCATTAAGGAATACCTTGGGAAGTGTAAATTAGGTGTTTGGATGTCCCAAGCTTTCCTTCACATCCTTGAGTGGGTTGGCCCTGCTACAGTTTGGGCACTTACTCCATTGGCATTAAGATGTTGTTAGCTGTGGTGAATAGCTGTGGTGAACCTAAGAGTTGATGAGTGCTTCATGCCAGGGACCCATGGAGTCTGACTATCTGTCTTACAGCAGTGGCTGTAAGCTTGAAGAAGAGTCTGATGTATTGCCCTGCTACATTTCCATTCTCTATCTGTTCTCAGCTTAAACAATTTCCACAGCTTGAGCACTTGTACTTACAAATCTGAAGGCATTCATCTGAAGATATTAATGCAAGTATTTTACCTATGAGCGTTTTAAGATTGGGTTGCCTCTTGCCACAAAAAATGACAGAATCTAGCCTGTTGTATCCCAGAGTACATCTGAAGGTACTATGCATCATTGTAATATTAAGCTGCAGAAATACATATTTATCATGTTTTTAAGGGAAAGAAACAAGTATTCCCAGGACAACACATTCTTTTGAGCATTAGAAGTAGCTGCCTTTCCAATTACCCCTCGAGAATTTATTCCCACTTAAGGATTTACTCTGTGTTTCCTTTCACTGATCAAGTTCTCACGGAGTTCCCAATGGCCTGAGACATTGAAAACCATAATTCAGCAGTTGGGAAAGTGGAGTTAGTCCATCCAGCTGTGCTGCATGATTAACAGGTGTTCAGCAAGGAAAAGATGGTTGTCAAAGACAGTAGTCTTCAAAGACAGAGTTGGGCTTTGGCTTCCTCCAAGGCTATTTCTTATGCCAGAGTGGCCACCAGTGTGTTAATCTCAGCTGTGTAGTTCAGGAAAGTATGATTAGCAAGTTGCACATTTCTGTGAAATATTAGCCCAACATGCCAAATCACAGAATATTCTGGGTTGGAAGGGATCCACAAGGATCAGCACATGTAGCATCGGACAATTTGCTGCATGGAAGAGAGCAATTGAACACAATTCATGTCAGGTTTCATCTGTAGTTCCAGGGTTCAACCCATGAATTGTAATGTGTGTTTAAGCAGTCCCTTTCTTCCCTCTCATCTTCATCTGTCGGTGGCCTCTCACCCATGTTCTGGCTCTGCTCTCATAGCTGTACTAAAAAAGCGCTGTGAACCAAATCAGAGTTTTAAATAAGGCAGAAAATACTATTTTTCAAGAGATTCCCTGTGCATACCTAAAACAGGTTGTGTGAGCTTAAGCAAGGGTGGTATAGAAGAATAGCTGAATGAACTCACTAAACCAGGGCAGCCTCTGAGCACTTGGTCTCTGGGACACATGTGTAGCCCTGCTGAGCAGTAGCTAGCAAATTCTGTTTATCTTTTGGACATGTGATAAATAAAATACAGTCAGGCTCAAGAGCTGTTACCTGTCAAAAGTTGGAGAGTACAGCACAGGAAAGCATAGATTCCTTGTTCAGATCTGGAGTATGAAATGATTTCATAGTAAAGCAAGTGGCATTCCTAAGCCCAGACCCTTTCTGGTGGATGCAGCCTGAAATTGTGTGACAAACGGATCTTTAGCCATGGACCTACAAAGTTGTTGTGTATTACCCAGATACATTCAGTAAGTAGAGATGGTATTCACATGGTGATTAGCTCTCATTCCTTTTCATTTGGCTCTGCAAACTTAGAAGATACTTGCTCTGTATTTGGATTTTTCCAATTTATTAGTTTATCTTAATTTATCTTAAAGAGAAGAAAGTTTGCCTTAACTGGGTATCTTGCATCAGGTGTTTGGAAAACATGAAGATACACTTCTTGGGTTGCAAAACTTAAAAAATGGGGTGCATGGAACATACATGACATACTCAGCACTCAGTTACACCTTCCCTGCTCAGAGTCCCAAGTACAGTCTTACTGCCAGGGCAGAAAATTTACATAACATACCAAGCACAGGATCTGTGCAACTAAATCAAAGTCTCCCTAACTCCTCTTCTACAGTAGTTACAGATGGCATTTCCACCCTTGAGCCAGGGGATCTCTCCCTTGCAGCTCCTTCCTCAGAGCAATTCGTGTGAAGCTGAATCCTGCCATTACTTAAAACTTTTCTTACTAATCTTCCTGTTACTTAATGGGAAGCATATTAGCAATATTAGCCATCAGATGTTCCTCTTAACTTTCAGTAGAAGATAATTTCCTCACACATCTGGTGAGGAAACTGGGCAAACTAGGGAAGCTTGCCCCTTTGGACTTGATGCTCGTGAGCGGAGGATGACTGTGGCTGATGTGATGGTTAGAGACCATCTTGGGCACAGCAATCATTAAATGATATAGTTTTCTATTCTTGGAAAACTAAGGATGGGGCACAGCAGAACTGCTGCCTTGGACTTCCAGAGGAAAGACTTTGTCCCGTTTAGGAGCCTGGTTGGCAGAGTCTCTTGGGAGGCAGTCCTGAAGGGGAAAGGATTCCAGGAAAGCTGGACACTCTTCAAGAAGGAACTCTTAAAGGCACTGGAGCAGACTGTCCCCATGGGCTGAAAGAGTGGCCTGGCTGAATAGAGAGCTTTGTCTGGAACCAGGAGAATGTATGACCTTTTGAAGAAGGGGCAAGCAGCTCAGGAGTACTACAAGGATGTTGTGAGAAAATTAGAAGGACCAAAGTCCGGCTAGAACTTAATTTGGCTACTGTAAAAGACAGTAAAAACTGTTTCTATAAATACCATAGTGACAAAAGGAGGGCTAAGAAGACTCTCCATCCTTTGTTGGATGTGGGGGAAACACAGTAACAAAGAATGAGGAAAAGGATGAAGTATTTAATACTGCTTTTGCCTCAGTCTTTAGTAGTCAGACCAGTTGCTCCTCAAGTACCCAGCCCCCTGAGCTGGCAGAGAGGGATGGGGGGCCGAATGAAGCCCCTGTAATCAAAGGGGAAATGGTCAGTAACCTGCTGCACCACTTACACACACACAAGTCTCTGGGATCAGATGGGATCCACCCAAGGGTACTGAGCTGCTCATGGCTTGGACAGGTGCACTGTTTGCTGGGTAAAAAAATGGCTGACTGGCCGGGCCCAGAGACTGGTGGTGAATGGAACTACATCCAGTTGGTGGCCAGTCACTAGTAGTGTTCCTCAGGGCTCAATGTTGGGACCCATCCTGTTTAATGTCTTTATCAGTGATCTGGATGAGGGGATCGAGTGCACCTCAAAAGAGCAGTGATAGAAGTAGCACAGGTACTCAGCAAAGTAGGAGCAGAGGTCCAGCTCTGCAGGAGGGATTTAAGTTTTGACTATGTTTGATTTTTATGTTCTTGTACTGTTCCCAAACTATTCTGGCTTACACCCGCTGCTTTGTGTACCACGGAGCTTAGGACACAGTTCAAATAAAAAGCATGGCACCTACATGATGTGGGGCATGAATCTGTTATAAGATGACTTCTTAAGTATGGCTTCCACCAAAAATGTTGTGGTGACTTGCAGTGTGCAGACTTTTGCAGTATGAGTATTATTTGCACCGCTTTATCATTAGGTGTCCCAGAGGTGGCCTGAGGAAGCCTTTGGTATCTTTTTCCAGGAAAGGGCAGGGTGTGGAAGGAGAGGAAAATTAGATTTGTGCTCTCTAGCCAGGCTGGGGTCCTGTGACAGCTAAGTATTTTCTCCATTTACCTTGGAAATACTTTCTGTGCATTGGGAGACATAGTGTTCAGAAAACAGAGTAGGAAACTACCCTGCTGTCTCACTCTGTATGTAGCTGCAAGGAGAGCCTGGGTGGGTTTGTGTTGGATATTGGCTTCCGCTGTAGCTGCCCACATAATCCACTTGCAAGCCTCCCAAACCTTGCAAGCCACAGCTGCCTTAGGAGGGAAGAGCAAAACTGGCACCCGGTCCACGACATTTGGGGCAGCCTGTTGTTGCCATTTTAATTTCTGAGGAGGGAGTTTGCCTTGATACTTAGTTCTCTTTCTACCTCCTGCTGTTTCTTTTTTTACAGTCCTGACATTCTGAAAGCAATATAAACTTTGCCAGGTTAGTCAGGCTTTTGAGAAGTCTAGATTTAGCTAAAACATTTCACAGCACTCCCAGCTGAATTTAACCATTCATCAGGAAACTTTTCTGTGCTTAGGAATCACCATCTCAACAAACACAGATGGAATTAGGATTCTTTTAGTCCAGTTCCATAAAAAGCTTCAAGAG